TTGCCGCTTGGTACGTCAAGGAAGAACTTGCATCTTCAAGAAATAAAAGCCCGACCTGTCTCCCTGAAGATGAATCTTCTGAAAAGGTTTTGAAGATGACTGAAGTAATCAAATTTGTCAATGAAATGTCTGGAGAAGCCTCAAGTATTGTCCTTAAGCACCTGGAGACGGTAGCAAAGAGGGAAAGACTCACGGAAAACATACTCAGCGAGACACCATCATTTGAAGACTTGTCAGAGAAACAAAGGCATTTCCTTGCACTCTGTTCACACAGCTATTTTTGCCTATCAGTCGAGAAGAGAAAAGATCTTTACTGCCTGTATCTGTCTTGCACTGGAGGTATTTTACTGATAGACTCTGATCAACTCCATGTTATTGCCAGCGAGCACTTGCTGAAATACTCTCAACCACCGAACCACGTATTTTTCACCGATAGTAAGCATCCAAAGGAAAACTATAGCGACCTGATCACCGTCCTGGAGGATGTGAATGGGACTCTTGTTAGCTCATCAGGTGAAGTGGAAGCCTCGATGTTTCTCAGGAAGTATAATCCACAGCGAGTGGAACAATTTTTCCTGAAGAAAGAGAACAATTCGTTCATTTACCTATATTTTGCTCACATTTCTAAGAGCTATGATCACCCTTTGCCCATCGAAATGCTCCAAGATGTCACCCGGTCACCTGAATTCACTGAGATAGAGAAGACCTCAGTCGGCGACCGGCCAAATGGACCAGACAACACAGCGTTTCTGTTGTCAGAGGACACCGAACGCTCACCTGTTCCCCTCCGTCATTGCCTTTCATTGACCTCAGAGATCCATACTAAGTATTTGGAAGAGCAAGAAATGAAGACACTCATTACGGCCCTTCCGCATGTGATTTTTCCCCGAGTCATGACCATGTCTGTTCCAGTGGGTAAATTGTATGATGCCCTCATATTGGAGAATCTGCTGTCTCGTCTCAACTTTACAAACAGACTCGACACTTTAGAATTCTGCCGTTGCAATATCACTGCGGGACCAGCCGCTGCCATCGCCAGATCTTTCCACAAAGCACCTAACTTGCGTGAGCTCTACTTGTCCTACAACCCCCTAGGTGACGGATTGAACACTCTCATGGAACATCTCCATTGTGTTCAGCAGTTAGAAACACTTCGCCTTGGAGGTGTCAAGATGACTAAGGAGCAAGTGGAGGATTTGACCAGAGCAGTACGTCAGAGTAACATCACTAGTCTGGGGTCGTATTATCATGTGAGTTTAGAAATGGTAATAATTCAACTCGGGAAGTAGTCGGGTCAGTTATGAATTTGGATCGTCCGATAGCGTGGCGCGTGACTAATTTGAGATTACGAGCACGATAACCAGTAAATTGTAGGACGCGAAGTTCTCTTACCAATTAATTGTGTCAATACCTAAATGCAAGAAACTCAAGACCCAACTTTCGAAGCGATAGTCTAGGTTTCAAACTGAATCGTGACAACTTGCTCTCTGAAATTTGATGGGCTAACATTGGTGGGGTGGTTAAATTTTTTTGGCTCGTAGTGTTGAGTACTCGTATCCACCCTTCACTACTGCCTTCGCAATCAGAAAGTAAGAAGTATTTTATGTCAACGCTGCGTTATTTTTTGTTATGAAGGACCACAAATAAAGATGAACATCTGTAGTGAAAAGATATCTTTTTTTTCTGATAGGACGAGCAAGGAAATCCCAAGCCTGAGCACGAGTGGCCAGCAGACGAACTATGGAAAGGAAAATGGTGGTACAAATCAGAGGACGAAGTAGAAAATGGGACGGAGGGCGCATTTGAGCCTAAATCAGAGGAGAAGCTGAAGCCTGGGACAGAGGACGAGTGAGAGCCTGTGACATTAACAAGAATCATTACCTGCTGAAGGCAAATTGAATTTGTCGATTGATTCCCAATTCGCACGAAGTAATCACTAATATTATTATGGCCTTAGGAGAATCATTGTTGCATATTGATTTTAGGTGATATTCGCAGCAACTGAATTTTGTTATTTTGTTTTGTTTTTTAAATTTTCTTCGCTACCTTTCAAGTACAGTTGGAAAAATAATGCTCTAGTATCATAATCACTTCTTTTTTTGGATGATTGTTTCAAGGTATAACGTAATCTCCCTATCAATAATCTCAGAAATCACCCGGGCAATTACACTGGTGAGTGTTAGGTTGATGACTGTATCAGAACCCAGTGGAGGGAGGGCCAGGGGTATACTTAGTGTAGTAGGGAAGAGAAGAGCCTTGATTTTTAATTTTCTTCAGGTTAAAGGTTGTTTGGTTTTGGAAATATTCGTCTCGCTACCAAATTGGTGACAGCTACACCGTGATGATGAATTTATTTAGGAGGAACACCAATGTTTCCTTGTGAGTTCGCTGAGTTATTTTAGGTTTTTTTTGGAAGTCGAAGTCGATTTCAAATGTAAGTTGTTTTGGTCACCAACCTCGTTCTCAGGGATTTTCCCGTAAAGATTGTGACAGGGCCAATTTTCAAGAGGAAAGTTGTGGGAACGAGGCTTTTGGTCATGAGTCGTTGAGGTCGTAAAGACCGGTCTACCTGAACTGGAAACGAAGACATACATAATATAAGCAAAAACCTAGGTTCATTTACCGGTGACTTTAAACGTCTAGATCTTTCTTAATAGTACAAAGCATCTTTTATCTATGTCTTTTGATGGGTGGTAATTAAGTGTCATTCTTTCTTGTGGAAAACCTGTCTGTACATTGAGCGTATAAATGACCTGAGTAATGCGTACAATTGGCTGTCAGCTAACAAGCTTACCCAACATATGACAAAAACCAAGTTTACACTTATTGCATCAAGGCAGAGGTTATCACGGGAAGTCCCCTTCTCCTATAAACGAAGAACGCAGTAGAACAAATAACCTCCACTAAATCTCTTGGAGTTTATTTCGACCAAAATTTAAACAGGGAATGCCAGAACATAGCTTGTGCCATTGGTGCAATTAAACGAATTCGGCATCTCACTCCATTTAAAATTTTAATGAAAGTTTGTAGTAACCTTGTTCAAGCACATTTTGACTATTGCAATGTGATGTGGGGAAACTGTAAAAAAGGCCTTTTATGGCTTGAAAATCGCACAGCTCGCACCCTAATGGTTAAGCTAAAGTAAATTTTTAGACACGACCTCCTTGAAAAGCTGTGTTTATTTTTGAAATATTTTGATAATTTTTGGTGTAGTCAGGTGGGTAGGTAGGTAGGTAGGTAAGTAGGTAGGTAGATAGGTAGATTGTCTGGTATCTAAATTGACTGATGGAAATACCGTGTATAAATAAAGTTATCGAATCGTATCCCTAAGGCTCTTTTGATATCCTTATGATTCCCCCACCCCCTCCTTCATTGGCATTTAATTGGCTGTTAATTTTATATATTACCGGTACCCCCATCATGCCCTGTTGACGTCGACTAATTCCTCCTCTCTTCCCCCTGAAAACCATGAAAACCGAAATCCTCCTCCCCACCCACTACTACTGAGTGAGTTTTGGGTTAGGATCACTGACCAGTTAAGCTATCTGTCTAACTGAGTTCTTTTTGGTGTTGGTGGTAGTAGTGCTCGTCACTTTATTTTTTCAAATCCGTCATCGGTTTGGAATGGCAGTTTATGTAAAAAACGAGAACTAGAGAACTCTGGGTAACTCCTCTGCCCTTATCGAACAGTCCCAGATCGGTTCTTTTTTTAAGAGTTTTTTTTCTTGGCGGGGTGATTAAAAACCGTCAATTCTCAATTCAATTTGCACTTTTACCGATTGTTTAGTGTTTTAGCTTACAGCTTCCTCTATACGATAGTATTCCCTCGTCCCTCTGCACGCATGTCTGTAGCCATATCCACACCCGCTATTCAAATGTGCTACCGTAAACTGCTTGCCTATAAGGCTCATCCCCCTGTTATAGGCCGATCTACTTGAAAACAAAAGAACGCATCCGATTATTAGCCTCCCCAGATATAAGCCCTCCCTAATCTACCCCACTTCTAACTTTACTTGTTTTCAGAGATAGGAATTCGATTTATGACCCGTAAGGCTCCACGCGTGCAATCCCATAGCAAGCCATAATCACAGCTGGCTTTTGTAGGGTTGACGTGAGCAGGACCAGAAAGAGCCGTCCGGCCTTGCACTCATACCCCAGCACACGACTTTGCTGCGAAAACTTAGAGGAATAAAAGAAAGTGTAAAGAAAATGCATCTATTAATGGATTGTAAGTTTTCTTGCTCGGACTGAAAAAAAGGAAAAGATTTCATTTTAGCATCTTATTTTTTGTGGTTGCCTGTGTGCGCCCGTCTTTCGTCCTATTCGGGTTGAAACGAAATTTTCAACACTTAGTGGTCATATGATAAAATGCTTATTGACTGAGTTCACTGGGCTCGGTCCGTACGTAATGACCTTGAGCTAAATATTTTCCGATCCGACCCTCTCACTCAGTCAATGAGTACATACTATCGTGAAGTTTTGAGGCCTAATTAAAAACCAAAAAATATAAAATGTATTTTGATCAGCACTCCTGCAGCGCGTTTTGAAGCGCTTTTAATATTTCAGATATAAGCCACTCAGTTTATACGCTGTCTAAAACTCCTTACGAGGTTGAATGAGCCCAGGGCTTATAAGTGACAGTTTACGTTATCAGCTACGTTCTGGGGATTTTTGATAAAACCTAATGTTAACCACGGATTTTGAACTTCTCAGACTCGTTCAAATCTTCGTTTCTTCACTGTACTGTTCCTGTTCGTTTGTTCCTTCCTTTGATAGTTTTTGATATAACTCCTTACATAACTATACAGTCATTCTAAATCAGAACGGATTGCACTCGACATTTCCGTCCTTACGTTTTTCCCCAGATCATACAGTTTTCCATCCGAATGATAGGAGGAGAAAGCTAAAGAGGAGCTAGAAACCGTCGAACTGTCAAGAAAATTTGTTTGAAAAATGTTATGGTGAATAAGTGTACGAAAAGAGAAGATACGTAATTTTATGTGGAATGGTTTTTATTGCTTTCTACCTCAAAGTTACTACAGATGATGTGCATTTTGATACAACATACAACTTAAACACCATAATTAAGCGGGAGTCTGGACGAGTTCGTTTCTAAGTGATTCCTTGTCAATGTTCTATTTTCTTTCGATCATTATTGGGTTTCTTATGTCTGGGTTTATCATTCTCTTCCTCTTCTTCGTCTTCTTCTTCTTCTTCTTCTTCTTCTTCTTCCTCCTTACTTGGACTAGGGGGAGGGTAGCGAGCGGGGTAAGGGTATGGAGCGGGATAAGGCATGGGGTACGGAGAAGGATACGGGGAAGGATATGGCGATGGATACGGGGAGGGGTATGGAGAAGGATACGGGGAGGGATATGGTGATGGATACGGGGAGGGGTAAGGAGAAGGATGCGGTGAGGGATATGGTGATGGATACGGAGAGGGGTAGGGAGAAGGATACGGGGAGGGATATGGTGATGGATACGGAGATGGGTATCCCCCGCCGGGATATCCGACGGATGCGTACTTTCTTCCTGTTAAGCGAATGACAAAAGAAATGTCGTTAAATCACCACTACTGCCATCAAGACTATAATTTGACGTTCGAAAGGGAAAGGCGTTTGGACGCTCAACCGAGATTTTTCTGTTCAGTTTAGAAAAATGGATGTAATATAGGGTGGTTATATTGAATAAGAGTACGAAAAGACACCATGAATTGGTAACTTTTTCCAACAGGTCGGTCACGCCCCATTACATGTGGTGTCATTTTACCGTCGTCACCAAAACCTCACTGAGATGATGTAGTTTTTTATTTTCTTGAGAGTCCTTTTTCGGAATCGGTCGGAGTTACCCAGGAGTAAGGGCTGTTCTACAGTAGATACTTTGGGAACCAAATCTATTTTGATAAGGAGGCGAATGTGAACCTAGCTAGTATGTTTAACGTGCCAAATTTAAGGTCATGTAAAAGGGGCCTCTCCCAATTACAATTTTTTCAACATTATTGAAGTAAATTTAAATTCCTACCAGAACCTGAACCACTGCCACTTCCCCAATCTAACGAGCCTTCTTCTTCTCCAACGCCAGATTCGTGATAGTGAGATTCGTGTTCGTGAGTGTGGAGGGGGTGATCTTTTGTTCCTTCCTCATTCGTCGGGGAAACATGTTTTCCTTCGGTTATTGTGACTAGGGCCACTAAGGCTGATAGGTAAATGGTAAATAAAAATGCCCCTCTCATGATGAAATCTGGACTTTAATTCTAGAAAAAGGAAAAACAAATTTTTTTAGCATTATTTACTTTTTTATCTTATTCGCTAAAACGTGACTGAAAAAATGATCGTCCTTCTATAACAATTGATTCAATTTTTTGTTCACTGTTACTACTACACTACTCTGAAATTAGTGTTAACTTTTCCTAACACAACTTGACGAAGCTGTCACGAAATTGGTACACAATAACATATTTTTTGTCAGGTTCGTTTGCAATATTTACATTTGTATCTCACCTCACTCGAGTTCCTTTTCCCTTTGTTCGTCACCCACGGATGTGACTCCAAGGTTTATTACGTGTTAAATACTAAGTAAGCAATATGTAAATAATTTAGAAGACCATCTTTCCTAACAATAACGGGTTAAAACAACATTACAGAACCCGTATGTTTGAGGGATATCCTTTACTTATATTAGATCGTTCAGTAATGTCGCATTTGATGAACGCGCGGTACCAAAACCGTGTAAAGTTCAACTGAAACACGGGGTTCTAAATTCTTTAGCAGGTTGGTCGAAACAGGAGTCATCAGGCGAAACTTTCTTAAAAGTGGCACCAGGCGCCTAAAGGCATCACATGGTTTGTTTAGACTTCGTGTCTCACAGTTGACCTTTGCCATTAGTAATTGCAATCAGGGGATTACGAACCCAAGAGCTTTTCAAAGCTTGCTAGCACTTCACGTCTCACAGTTCGCATTTTAGTGATTAATTTTCACATGGGAAGAATTTTTGAAGAGTGATTAAGAGGGAACTCGAGTAAACTGTGTGTGGGAATGAGGTAAAGCAACATTTTATCACGTTTTAAAAGGTTTATAATTACTGTTGCGCTCTCTTTTTACAGGTAAGTGAGACTTTTGACGCAATCCTTTAATGAAGTCACACTCAAGTTCCTTAAGCCTACAAGTTACTAGACCCGATTACAAGCGCCTGTTTGGGGAATGAGCCCGCTCTCTTCCTCTTTTTAGAAAAGATCAAAGACTGGACCCCAGATAACTTCGGAAATCGGGTTTAAAGGTAGATGTGAGGATTTACTTGTATATTAGAAGAATACCAAGATATAAATAAACTCGTGTTCATGGGATACCACTGTTAAGAAAAGAATCTGTTCGGGGAGGGGGGGGGGGTTGGGAAGGAAGAGCTGGGCGATGTTTTTTGGGGGTTGCTCCGTCTTAAGGCCCACCTCTTCACTTTTAAATGACGCTTTTGGATTAGACAGCACAGATCAGTTAAACGTGAAACGTCTGCCAAAGAGAAAAGATGCATTTTGGATAAAATATTAAAATACTCATTTCCTTTTACAGCGGCAACTGTTTAACTCAACCTAGATATAGGAGGAAGATTTGGACTCGCCTGACCTTTTCTAAGCCTCCTCTATGTGTGGAGGCACGTACAGCACAACTCCACACGTGACATTTATGCACGAGACTCCAGTGGACAGCGGTCGTTGGTTGAAAGTTGACTTATTCATCATCACAATTTGTCGTAAGTTTGTCGCATACGGTCGACTTAAATCCCGAAAACCCAACCATGTTATCTACCTCTAGACAGAAAGCTTATTGGGGCTGGAGGAGTTAAAATTATGCCCCCCTTTAAACGTCGTCCATTCTAATTCTTTGGCCCTATTAATGAAATTTTACCAATTCCAAGCAAAGGTGGGAGTGTGGGAAAATGTTGGAAAGAGTGAGGGACAAAATTAAGAATGCAATTCACAATCAACATTTGAAAACGTAGACATGCTTCAACGCAATTTGCAAACATGTTGGACTATATTTTAAAAATGCCTTTAGAGAATGAGGAAGTTAACGTAAAACCGGGAATTAACTTCACAAAGAAACTTTTGGAAGCGTTTCAAAACACGATGCGAGTGATAGTTTTCAGCGGGTAGGAAATTGGCGCCTCTAAAACTTTAAGACTAACACCTGACTCCTTTTTAAGCAATAGAATGCGCTTCCTAAAGGTTTATCCGGCGTAATAACCGACGTGAGGTGCATGATGGGAGACTTTTCTCGTGTTCTCCCAACATCCCCCAGGGGTGATCACGCCGGTAAACTGATAGAGAGTGCAGTCGATTGCTTTTATAAAATAATTTTCTATTGGTTTACTGGTGCAATGAACGATAAGTTTTTAACCAATCAGAACGCTCGTAGTATCTCAGTTATCTCAGAGTGAAAAGCACTTCACAAGAAATACGTTTTGAGACATAAAACTACATCACATTTATTATCTTTAATAATTCTGAAACGTAATTGAAATCCCCTTCTTATCGCTCTCTTATAAGGTGACTTTTACAATTCTTAAAGTCCTTTTTTCGAAGTAGTGCAGGTTAAATAATAAGATCATTTGATCTTCTCGTGCATAAAATATTAGAAGTGAGTATTGCTTCACATATATTTGATTTTCTCGTGCATAAAATATTAGAAGTGAGTATTGCTTCACATATATTTGCTGAAAAATTCCACCATTACACTTTCTCCAGTGCGTGCTCGAGATCCTTCTTCAAGTCTTCCGCATTCTCCAAACCAACACTGCAGAAAACGTCATCAAACGTCGTTACAAATTGTCACAAAATAGATACAAAGTTTACCTATTCCTATCGTCCATAACCCCCGATACCTTACAAGAATTCAAGTGCAAAACCCCCACAGGTCCGATTGAAAGGTTCAGACCCTATTCATCTCCACTAATTACGGTCCCGTAAGTAGCTTCTTGTACGCACCTAAATCGAATAAGCGATTCCTTCAATCCAGTCTCCTTCCTTTCTTCCACTGACACGTATTTTTTAGGGTGCGTCATGGCGGTCGCTATCTCTATCAGACTCTGAACTCCACCAAGAGACACTGCCAGCTTAACCAGCTTCAAATTCTGTCGACAAAATGTAAAGTTAGTTTGCCACTTCGAGGGAGATGAAAGAGACCCCAGGGCGTGAAATTAATTTTTTTTTTCTGAAGGCCACTTGGCTCCTAAATTCTTCAAAGTGGTAGCCAATTCAAAAGAAGTTGGTCGCCATTTTCAAAGACAAACAAAACCTTTTTTTACGCAGTCAGCGTTCTAGATAGACCCTCCAAAATTAAGTTAGGGAAAAGATCTTTAACGTGCTTTATCTTTAAAGTGGACACTAGGATAGATGATATACAACGTTCAAGCTCACCTAAATCCAGGATGGCGTCTAGTCATCGATCGAGATGCATGTGCTGCGTTTTGGAACCAAACTTCACGAGGAAGTTTGCCGCGGATTTATCTTTACAAATCATTTCAATTCTCCATATCTCTTAGTAAGGTTATTATGAAACATTCTAGTCGCCAATTTGGCGACTAATTTTCAGGATTTCGTCGCCAAAGTGAAAAATTTAGTCGCATTGGCGCCTGTATTAGGCGCAATTTCACGCCCTGGACTCTATAAGAGAATGGCTCACTTAACTAGCGGAGAGACTCGGAGTATTGCTACTCCACCTGGATGAAATGCCAGGACATTCCCAGTTACCCTTTCCCCCAGAATTTTGTCATGTTTCCCGACATCTTACTGTTACTCATTCATACCCCTGGGAGAGAGAGGCACTATGAAGAACACAACACAACGAACAAGAGAGAGCCTTCAGTAACCTGATATACAGGTCCCCTTCATTGTATGTTATTCTGGCCTCCTAATCTTGTAACCAAGCAAATCCACTAAGTTCTATTTGTCTCCACACCCTGGAAGATTATCCACTTAGACGTCTCTTCGATCGTCATGGGGTCCTCTAGTGGACCTTTCCATGGATTATCGGCGTATGCGCAGTCACCTGAACTGGTTAAACTGCGTAAACAACGCCTAACCAGTCCTTATGAGGACATTTCAAAGTTTTCGGCGTGCACCTTGTTTGAGCGCTTTTACCGTTTGCATTTGCCATTTTTATCCTGTAGGTAAGGCGGGGTTCGAGTTCCCGGCGATACAGCTCCCTTACCGTTGAAGTTTTTAACCTCTTTTTATCTTCTTTAGTAATGCAAGGTGGAAATGGCAGCACGTCCATCAAACCGCCTAGATACAAAAAAGAACAATACAACCCTCCTTTTTCAACAGTGTCGTACGTTTCACTGACAGCTTTTGGACGCGAAAATCAAATCAAAACAAAACAAAACCCGGAACATGATTTTTAATGAAATAGATTTCATTTGACCTGTGGATGAAAATCAAGTAAAGCTATGATCCTAGCAAGTGAACTGCAATTTAAGCAAACGCAAAAAAGAAGCCTGAAAAAAAAATCAGGCTTCGGCGGGATTCGAACCCGTGCCTCCAAGTGAGTTACGCTGCTACACGTTTGAAGCAGAACACAATTTAGAGTTTTGTAAGGAGCGTCACTCGCAAATCCTATAAACTCTTAAGCCAGAATAATGAAGAGGAATAAAACACGAAAAAACAGAATTTCAAAGCAAAACTGTCTTGTGATTAGTTGCATCGGTGTAAAGACATTATCATAATCCACTCCATAGTGAAGTCAGCTGTATTATTCTGTCAATCAAGCACATCACAAAGATTCAACTTTAACAACTTAGATTCCTGCTCTGAAAAATTGAGAGTGAAGTGATCACTTTTAGTATAGACCCTATGTCTGAGCGAATGAAGTATTTTTTTTTCCTTTTTTTTAACCAAATAAAACGCAAAAATTACTGAGAAACCAAAAGAAGTTCCTCAAAGTTTTTTTGACGATAGATTCAAAGCTTCCTTCTCTTACCTCAACAAGTCTTGTTGCTTCTGCTCGCCCACCTTTCACTTCAAAGGACAACATCCCACTGAAGCCTGTCATTTGTTTCTTCGCAATTTCATGATGAGGATGGGAAGGCAATCCCGGATAGTACACTCTTTCAATCTAAATATCAAAAAAAAAAAAAAAAAAGGAAAATTTCAAGACCTGTTCGTTTAAAACGATTAACCTTATCTCCTTAAATTTTAACGAAAAAATTGCCAGACCGTCGTATTTCTTGCCGATGTTTGTCATATTTCGACTCCAATTTGACGCCTTGATTGACAAAAGTTAATTTCTTTGAGGGTAACTGAACAAAGAAATCGGAGAGAGTTTTGTAGAGATTCTTGTGAGATTTAGTCAAGATAAACTTCCGAGACATTTTCACACGCTTAAATTGAAAGAAATATGTAGGAAGCGAAATCACATCGATAGTTTGGCGATGGAGCAAAACGAGCGAGTCTCAGTTCAACCGTTACGACATTTGACTGAAATTTATTCATAACTTTACGACATTTGTTAGGGTGAAACATTTTATCCTAAAACGTTACCAAGATCCCCCAGATGCTTCCCCAGCTTCCGTATTCGTAACCCTTACGATATTTGACTGAAATTTTTACAAGACTTTTTAAGGTCTGAGCGGTTTTTGCGAAGAAGAGAAATCTCGTTTAGTTGGGAGGGATAAAATTCACCCTCTTACTATGAACAGGCTTAGTTCTTTTACGGTGTATGCTAGGAGGTATAACTTAAATCCAGTCAATCAAATTTTTCGGTTTTATGGGCGCTTGACAATAATAAAGGCGGTGGAGCCAATTCGGGAATTTTAGGTACCTGTCTTTTTCAGGAAGGCCTTGAGGGTGACAAAATGATATTTGATTAGAAGGCCTGAGGCTTAATTATCAGCTATGGTAAGTAAACAGTATCCTAAAACGTCATTAATGTCACCCTTCTTTTCATTACATGGACAAGTTTCCACAGATGCTTCCCCAGCTCCCGTTTAAAAAAAGTACAGTTAATTGAGCTTTGTACCTTTGGATGACCTTCCAAAAACTTGGCGACTTCCATGGCATTTTGATTATGCCTCTCCATTCGCACATGAAGGGTTTTCAGTCCACGATGTAAGAGGAAGGCATCGAAAGGCGACTACAAAACAAAGATGTGGACTTGGAAGTGAATAAAATGAGTCATGACAAGAGTTACATCAAAAACTGAGTCAACTGAAGATAATCATTTACTTAATATTGAGGCCCAAGTAATTTGAAAGCTAATCTATTCAAAAATTGAGCAGTTTATTATTTATTTATTAATTGAATAATTGATTGATCTCAAATGATTCATCAACCAATAAATTGATTAGTTAGCTAATTGAGTGGTGTGTGGTTGGCCTCCTTGATTGATTTATTAATGTTTTGATTGATTAATTGATTGATTAATTGATTGATTGATAGATACACAGATTGATTGATTGGTTTATTGTTCAAATGATTGATTCATTGATTGATTGAATTTTGGTGAACAACTGAATCTTATAAGTATGAGATATCCCTGAGAAAGACACGTCATTCCAAAAATTCTATTAAAAAGATCTCTCCATATTACTTTAAAATCTTAGTAGAGATAAGCTTGAAAACCAACAGTATCATTTGCAATTTGCAATGTTTTTTTCTTTGCTCACTTTTTAAGAAAATTACTATAGTATAATTGTTATGGGAAATTGCCAGAAAATGGAATGAAGAAGTGCAATGGGTAAAGTATAGAATTGGCACTTTAATGAGTGAGCACCTTACCATACATCCTCCAAAAAATTTCTGCAATTCATAGCATTTGTGGTGCAATTCCTGTGATGACAGTGTAAGGGAACCAGCTGTGATGTCACTGTGGCCTCCCAAGTATTTTGTGCTAAGCAGAAATAAAGCCAAAAGTAATAAATATTGGGTAAGTATTATTTACACCGTGCTTTCATTAAGTGGCATAAAACTCAAAACCAAAGGACATCACCATGGCCAGTCAGAATAAAAGATAAAAAAAAAAATTAAGGAAACATATGAAATCAAAGTAAAGACATGATGTAGATGTGAGTGACTAAATGGCATTTGGGCCAACAGGTAGGAAAAGTTGTCAGACTTTTTTTCCGAGCAATATCTTTATTCATTATGATCTCCGACAGCAGCATTAAGATGAGTATAAGAGGTCACCACTCTGTGCAATGTTAACAGAAAAAAAATTATTGTGTTGCAGACAAAACATGACTATTTTATGGTGTCAGGAGTGGTGCTTCAAGTGTGAACCTGAAGTAGCCGTTAGTTGCCAAGCTGCATTTTCAAGCAAAACTGCAGTGTTATCCTTACCATTAGACATAAAAAATGCCTCTTCTGCAAATAGGCAGGAGATAAGCACACAATATGAAAAGGTGCATTCAGGAACATGATAGAAAATTAAATATGCACTATGCAAAATTTAAGTTTGAGCCAAGAATTATGACCTACTATAAAGAAAAAAAAAGGGCTATATATCTCTTCTAAAAATTTCATGGGGAGGAGGGGTGGTTGATTGACTCCGCATTCTTTTTTATCACGGGGCAGAAGGGAATTTTGACAAGTCCAAAAGGGGTGCTAATTGAGAGAACATGGTATTATTACTTTACCAGCTGTGAATGACGACATCAATTCCATGTTGAATAGGTTTTTGATTAAATGATGAAGCAAAGGTACTGTCACACATGGTAATGATACCAAGTTCTTTGCCAAGTTTTCCAAACTCCTCCAGGTCTGTCAGGGTCATTGTCGGATTGCATGGTGTTTCACAGTACAAAACCTATTTACAAAAAAGAATACACAGCAGTTGACAATTAGATTTTAGGGACAGTAAGTCAGTCACCCACAAACAAACTGGAGGCCTTCAGCAATGTTAGCTGGTAAAATGTCTGCATATGGTCTTGCACTGATAATGAGGTGCCAGATCCCTTTTGCAGACCTCAATCTTTTTGCTGGCTTGCTCTGCTTTAACTTATTTGCAGGCAAAGAAACCCTAATATGTGCAGCAGTTTTAATAATGAGGATGTGCTCCCTGGCTACAGAGATAGGTAACAAAACAAGATTAGTTAATGCACAAGGGTGGATTGAAAAGCACTGATTTCTCAGAAATGCAAAGCTCTGGAAAACTGATCAGATCTGGAGATACCATTCAATGGAAAATTCAGTGAACTATCAATGGGTGCCAAAAATTTGGCTAGTATCTGTGAGACTCCAGAATAGCCAGAGGTGTGGTGGGGGTGAGGGGTTTGCATCATGGGATCAACTTCTCTGTACCTCTTCCCTTTTACATTTCTGATAAGCTGGTTTGTCATTTGTCAGTAGAAAAAATATTAAAGTTTGTCTCCTTTTACAGGTACATGCAGGTAAAGCTGGATGAATGACTTTAAAATTTAATTTTGACTTAAATCCACACCTTGGTGTTTGGTTTCACAGCTTTGCGATAACTGGAAACATCAAAGCCATCCACCAGAGTGCACTCTACTCCAAATCGTGGAAGATGATTTCGAAACAGGGCTAAAGTTCCACTGTACACCATTCTGGGACCCACCTTAAACAAACACAGAGCAGTCAGCTTCTTCAGTTATAGCACTGTCTCAATAATCAGTGACATTACAAGAGAGAAATATGAAGTAAAACTAAACTTTGACACTGGGATTATCAACAAAACAAAAGCTTTTGGCAAATCAATTAGGTAATATAAGTAGTTTCTTTGAGAAAAAGGATCAGAGTTGGACAATGAACAATAAGAGCCCTGACTTTAACCCTTGGACTTGTAGTAGTGTTCAGTTAGTGTGGCTAAACACTTTAATTCCCAGAAGTTATTAACACGTAACCTCTCCCAATAATATACATATGTTATCTAGCAAACAGGTATTGAGAGTACTCAAGCCTATCATGTAGAAGTTTTAATCTAGATATAACACCAAATTCTTGTAACTAATCCACAAAGAAATGTGTAACAGTTAGAGAGGAGAATTAATTATATCAGATCTTGGGAGTGAAGGGTTAATTCTTTTAACATTATTGAAATGCTATAATGAAGACAGGTGATGAGATTTAACTAAGAAACATGGCAACTACTATAGATTGTTTGAAGAAAAATCAAACAAATGAAAAGTCATTAGTTGGCAGAAACATGGCAATACTAACCACATGATCTCCAGAACTTAGGGTAGCAAACAGAACATTTGTAATAGCAGCCATTCCTGAGGAGAACAACAATGTACCCTGTCCACCCTCTAAATTGTTGAGTGTTTGAGCTGCAGCATCAACAGTGGGGTTTATCCAACGTGAATACACCCAGCCACTCTGAAAAGAACATTTCAATTCTTACAATGAGTAAAATACCACAGCAGCATGGAATGGGGAAAGGAGGAGGGGGTGTACATAATTGTAGGAAGTAACAATGAGGAAAAAATATCAGAAAAAGTAAGTTATCTGCTGGATAACTCTCAGATTGCAGAACTTTTATAGGAGGTAACATCTCTTAAAATAAATTGATTCATCATAAGAAAAGAGTGAAAAGTCAACCGAGCAATGTTTTGGGTGGTTTTCTCTGCACACTAGTTTTTTCTCCAAATAATTTTTTTGGCCATTATTTCCTATTGTACTTTGCCCATTCCCAAATGCTTTTTCTACCTGTGCAAGTTCCACTCTCTAAGCCAACTATAACAACCTTACAGACAACATAAAAAATTGGATAAATAAGGAAGTAGAGTAACCAACAACAACTTCATTATTTCTGCATGAAAATTGATGAAAATGAAAAAAATTGGATAAACTGATGTAGTTTTTGTCTGTTATGATACCTGTGGGTTGAAAATAAAAGGTCTATCCAAAAAAAGTATCACCAAACCTTCCCCCCTTACACACATCCCCTACAACACTATCTTACCCATTGTTACCAACAATACATTATTAAAGGCACATTTTAAAAAACCCTAAGAGCATTCACTTTCTATCTAGAATACTTCTCCTAGAATGAGAATCAACTGGACAGTTTTCAAAAAAATCACATACCCAAAAATTGAAATGAAGAGGAACATAAAACTAGTGGACCTTGGCCTTATTCCTTTGCTTAAAAGTCTTTTTGGGTCAGTTTAGTATTTGTTTTTCTTTGTAAAGCATCCAATAATCAAATTCTAGAAAGAAATTAATTATACTGAATTTTCTCTTAAGGCTTTCAGGTGTGAGATCAGATTTTGCACTTATCTTGGGTAGTCTTAACCCAGCTTTAAATAACTGGGCCAAAAATATTAAATTTGTGGTAGAAAAGGAACCAAATTATCATTTTGCAATGTCTAGTTAGTCAAAATTCTGAGGTTATTGGGGAATGAACACTTTGAATTGAATTACATCACGAGTGGTCCACAAGTTTAAGTCGACCTTCATGAAAGAGACAAGTTCCAACTTTTACTCAAAATTTTAAATCACAAGTGAAATAGTGTATTACCGATTGAAATTTTCCAGACACGCTAGAGAAACTATTGTCAAGCATATGTCCGAAGGTCTCTCGGAGTTCTTCAGCTTTTTCTTCATTTTTTCCTTTGCTGAGTCTTGTGTGTTGGGAAAATATCGCCACACTAACTATCAATATATTGTAATGTGATCATGATCATGATTATTCATGTCCTTAAGCATATGATTATTCGACACGTGTAGTAATTACATTGGGACGGCAGAAACTGATCAACGACCCTGTAGCGCCTGAATCAGCCCTCTAGACATCAATTGCCCTTTATATTAAATGACAATGCGTGACCACTGTTGAGAATATCACATACGTCCGTAGGTCTCTAGGAGTCTTCAGCTTTTCCTTCATTTTCCCCTTATATCACCGAAAAATTTGCTGAGTCTTGCGTGTTAGGACGATATCGCCACTCTAAATATCAATATATTGTAATGTGATCATAATTATTCATGTTCTTTAGCATGTGATTATTCGACACGTGTAGTGATTACATAAGGACGGCAGAAACTGATCAACGGTCCTTGAGCGCCTGAATCAGCCCTCTAGACATCGACTGCCCTTTATATAAATGACACTGTGTAACCACTGTTAAGAATATCGCTTACTTTCCCAAGAAATGGCATACTCATGACTGCAGAAGGAATGAGTTCTAATTTATGCGGAAAACAATATGGCTGCGCCGCGCGATTTTTTTTTCTTAACTTAGCCTAACACAAACACACGAATAGATCCTTGCGAAAATAGACAGCAAGGAATTCTTGGAATTAACATACTTTCAACAGATCTGCTGAAAATTGTGCGTGGCGCTCAAAGCCGCGCATCACAGTAGAGAAACTCGCCGTGGCAACACAATTTGATCAGCTGATTTTCCGCCAAGTTATTTGGCGCGTTTAAGTGAAAAACTAAAAATTGGAACAAGGACAAAATTTAAAACAGAAATTTACTTTAAAAATTTTATTCCTACTAGAACTTTCTCCATTGGGCGGTGTGATCACCCAACCTGATGGTGACGGAAATGAAAAATTTAGAAGAACCAAAAAGTTTCGATAGTACACAATCCCATGTTTCCGAATTTCCTATGTCAACTTGTACTGATAAAAGTATTTTTACTTCTTAACGATGTTGTGCGCTTAACAGATGGAAAGACTCTGTCAAATTTAGAACTCTCACCTTTCCCAATGCAAGTTCTTCTGCGTGATCTACGGAAGAAGTCTTGAAAGTAGAAGACGCAAAAATTGGAACATTAATTGGATCAGGTTCCTCTGGTTTCTTCCAATCACTTCCCACCGCCAAAGACTCGAAGCTTTCAAGGAGCGAGTTTTCATTTGCCATGTTTCTTTTGATCTACGTGGTGGCTTACAGTGTCAGAAGTCAGATATGCACCCGAACAAGACCCGTACTACACTTGCGTTGATGAATTCACATGATCCATTGTATGTTAAAAAGGAGTAAGGTATGCACAGTGGTGATGTAAGAGGTTTTCACACGAGCCTCGCCTTAGCGTAAGAACGTGATAATTAGAAATCGCGGACCAATCAGATGGTTCAAACAATTAACGACTACCTTAATTTAAGCAAGAAAAATTAAGCGACAAACAGCTGAGTACTCATTCTGAATTGATAAGAGAATTTGGGATTTGATCAAAGGTTTGAAAATCCCTAACATTGTTGTGAGCACATGCACCGCTTATAATTAAGGTAATTTAGTTATTATACTTGAGTTGATAACGTAAAATTGGCCACCGTTAAGAGTCTCGAGCGCTAGCCCTTCGTCTTTCGCTCCGACGAAGGGCTAACGCTTGAAAGTCAGCTTTGAAACTCAACAGTGATTAATTCACGATATCAACTCAGTTGATAATACCAAATTACCTTGTCACACTCTCTCACCGACGCGATTTAAACGGAAGTGAATATTGAGGTCTCAATCATCAGATTGTCTGTGGTTGGTCAAGAAGAATCACGAAAGTGAATAGGTCCCGGCTGAGGAATATTTATGCTTCTTACTGTCAAATAGATCTGCGAAATATTGTCGACACCCTTAACCGTTCTCATACCCACACATCGCGCAAGGAGGATGCAACAGTATAACAAACTGAACGTTTCGAAGAGATGTGAATTAGTTATTTTTTATGACCTATTCAACAATAAAAAAAATTGAAAATAAACATGCATGACCTATTCAACAATAAAAAAATTGAAAATAAACATGCATATATAATGACGAGCATCATCCTCTTGGGGCTCAAAAGATTAGATGAGCTCGGCTCTTGGAGGGCTATCAGGTTCTCGGAACAGTTTATGTCTTTTGACAAAGGACAGAAACAAAGAGGGGCTATTTTTCTTTACAACAACTAGTATTAGGCGATGATACTGAAAAAATTACTTCAAAAATAACCCCCACATGGGTTTTGAAGGCCAAGTCACTGTTTGAAATCGAAAGGTTTGAGCACCAACGCGAAAGAACGCTTCTATTCTCGCAGCTGCCTGAAGGTTCTCCCTTCATTTTCAAGAAATCATATGATCTATTCATGATGACAACAAAACAACACCATTAGAAAAACAGGAAGCACAAATTTTAATTAAATAAACTCAATAATAAAGTCATACGGACGATAGGATATACCTTTTTAAAATTATTTTTCGTATGAAAATCTGTCTCGTTATGTCTATCAATTTACAGTAAAACTACTCTTCTGTTTGTAGTTATGCATAAAAAGGTTTCTTCATTCATTTAAGAATCTTTCTTATGAAATATGTGACTTTTGTTGGTCCACATCCAGCTAAGAGCACTGTAATCAGCCCTAAACCAGCTGTTGAGAGAAGTGGACAGAAAACCTGGAGTTTGTTTTGCCAACATCTTTATCCTGGGGCCTCCTTGCGCAAGCCTGATCACTGGGCCATGCTTGTTCATGTAGAAAATTTAATTATGTGTAACAAGGTTTAGCCTGTGACACACTCTTTATAATTGAGGAAGATTAAAAAAAAAAAAAAAAAAAGTACAGAAAGAATTGTTGCAGTGTTAGGAGTTACCCCCAACTTCTACTTCACTATTACACTTGTCTCCACTGACCAACAGCCAGAATAGGATAATCAAGGTGAAATTAAAGCCTTCTTAAAGTACTCATGTCAAAAATTACAACTTGATCGACAAGAAGAAAAGTAAATCATCAATAGGGCCACCAGCCACACTGAAACAGCGCTGGAGTAATCATGTGGAAATTTTCTCGCCCCACTTCAGAGATCATCATGAGAAAAATGATGGGCTGACCCACCAAATCAAACCAAATTTTTGCTATGAACAGAATTGTGAGGTGGAGTCATGTGAGCAAAGCCAGCCCACTTGAATGGGCCAATATTGAGAGGCCCCTAGATACTCCTATGATTCTCAGAACACAGATTATGGTTTCATTTAAGGTTGCTAGAGGTGACTGCTATGGATCCTCTACATCTCAATCCAGAAGCAACTGTGTTGCTGGCATGAACATATCTGTTCAGTTATGAAGTAACTGGCTTCCTGGCATAAAAAACTCCCCATGTATGTTCACCACCTCTACATCTAGTTAGTTTGTTCGTCCAGCTATTCACTAAAGAGCTGTAGTCTTCACTTGAGAAGTCCTGGATGGAAAGCATAAGCAAAGTTATAAGATGCAAATAAAATAAATAAATAAATAAATAAATAACATAAAATTCAAAGTGTAGTATTGATGGAGAGGTTGAGGAGAAAGACAAACAGGGCAAAGGTTTAAATAACTTTTTCCATAGCAGCTGCTAATGGTGTTATGGTCTGCCATGCCTGAAAAGGTGCCGCATGATGAAACATGAACACAAAGAGCCTACTCCCAGGCTAAAAAGATTGTGGTAAGAGGTCTGCTAAGTGAGGGATGACCACTGGTAACCAGCTGCTATTGAAACCCCTAGACTACGAGGGTAGAGTTTCATGTCCTGCTGTATTTTTTTTTTTAAATAAATTTTGCAATACCTCCTTCAAAATACCAGCTCCTTCTTTTCTCAATATTTTAACATTGAACAAACTAAGATTTTTGTAGGAAAAAAAAACAAAGTAGCGATTAAATTACCTTGATGAACTCCTCCTTTGACTTTTCAAAATTTTTCAGTTCACTCTCGAGAATCTGTGTAAACTGTGTTGTTCTGTCTTCAGCTGTGACTGCCTCAAATCCAACTTCACGTAACATCTGTGCAAAGATTCAAACAGAATATCAAGTTTTGAAAAAGATGAATTAATTTCTCGCAGCCATACCAATAGAAACTTAAATCTAGTATACCAAAATTGGGGTTGAAGAGCGAAAAGTTCTGTGCCAAAGTATATTGCCTTTTTTTTTCATATATCTAACTTATTCTGAGTTTGAGAGGCCAGGTTATTTTACGTCTCCAGTGCCAGCAGTGAATGGATTAAAGCATATGTAAGAGGTTCTCATTTATTGCAACTCCCCTGCTATTTTGTTCATCTGTTCTTTTGCTGACTAAGAACCAGACTTTGGCTACACTAAACCTGAACACACTCACCTTTCCATAGCTTTCAACATCAATTAAGTGGTACTGGCGTTCTGCCAGGTACTTTTTGAATAGCTCGGAGTGTTCACCACGACTACAACAGTAATCTGTGATCAATAACTGTCCACCAGGCTTGAGCCAACTCTGTTGTGAAATAAAACAATCATTTTGTGTCTTTGTGAATGAAAGACTTGAAAAAAGGTGCATGTGATGTTTCCTGTAGTTACAGTCATTACAATTTCCCATGAATTGTGTGGCTTGCATCAGGCATGCATTTTGTGCATTTTCATTTTGTGTCTTTGTGAATGAATGACTTGAAAAAAGGTGCATGTGATGTTTCCTGTAGTTACACTCAGTACAATTTTCCATCAATTTTGTGGCTTGCATCAGGTGTGCAGTCGGTAAATGGGTTACAATATCTTCTCTGTCCACCTGTTACATTCTGTTTACTAACTGAATAGCTGAAACAAGCTATCAAACATTTCGTAATTGACATCCAACCCTTAATTTTTATCTTAGCAGCACCAGTAAATCATTTAACAAACAGATGATGAGAATAGGAACTTATCAGCTGGAGGGTGTCTCATTAATATGAAATCATTTTCATCTACATTCAGTTGTTTAAAATGCATGACAAAAAAGAAAGGAGAATTATTAACCAGATCTTTAGAGGTAAATGCTTAAATGATGTCCAAATTAATGGTTGGTTGCTTACCTAAAAAAAGTTAAGTCAAGGGGGCTTGTTTTCAGTATGATGTAAAAGGTCACTGAGCTATAGACATCCCAAATATATTATGCAATGTTATTGATTCCTTGTAACTAACATTACGGTTAGATTTTTACAAATATCCTATTACAATACCACACTACCCAGTAATACAAAAGACTAATGTAAGAAATATAATTGATGTTTCCCTTAACAGAATAAAGGACTACTAGAAATAAGCCAAGTATGTCTCACCAGAATCTTCTTGAGAAGGGCTTTTTTGTCCTTTATATGAAGAATGGTCTCTCTGCTGTATACTGCATCAAATCTTTCAGCAGGAAACTCTCTTGTTGAGGCATCACTTACTTCAAATTGGACCTTTTCAATACAGCAAATGAATATTATTCTTTGACCAAGTTACACAAAAGATTTCAAGATTGGCAGAAAAAAAAACCATTGCTTCTCTTCACACACCTGGCTACTTTTAGAACTTTCATATGCTTTAAGAGCAAAGTTGATCATGTTTGTGGACAGGTCCATACCAAGGACATGAGCGTGGTATGTCTGAAACAAAACAATTTCATGATATAGGACAGTTGTGACTCAGATGTGCATGGCAATTCCTTTAATTTAGTGTACAACAAACTGTTACAAAAAGAATAACTGATCAGAAATCCTTCAGTTGGTACTCACATTAGCAATGTAGAAGGCACTTCCACCTATGCCACACCCCAAATCTAGGATGTGCTGATCTTTCTGAAGATTCAGTCGACCAACAAATTCCTTGAAACACAAAATGAGATAAGGATGAAAGATTTGTCAAGGTTTTGATCACAGCTACAAGAAGCTACTACCCTGTAAAATGAAGATATAACCTCCGATTTCAATGCATGTCATCACACCTTCATTGTTGTCATCCCTCCAGGACTCACAAAGCCTTTTCCAAACACTCTTTCATACATGAGGATCCCTGCCTTGTTATACTGATTGTTGTCAAGAAATTCCTGCATGTTTCCTTTGCTTCCATTTTTTAACATCACCTTTTTCCACAACCAGGAAAACTGGTGCTTGTTTTGTTTGTGCTGCAAAATATATTACACTACATCAGGAGCAGGCCTGAACAGGATTATAATTCTGCATTCTTGGGAATGAAAGTTGACTATCTCTATGCCGTTGTCCAACATGAATTGGAAATAGGTACTGGTAAATTGTTGAGAAAATCTTAAAAATGCTACATGCAACCATTCTTCATCAAATAAAGGGATAGCAGATTTGATATTAACCATTTCTTGCCACAGAAATTTTTTTAAACAATTTTTAAAATTTTTTATTTAGCTTTGCGCAATAATCTCAGGCAGGGAGACCACTACAGCTTTAGCCAATTACAGTGGATCCCACATTAACAATGACAAGGCCAGACCCCCTCCCACATTCCCAGTAAACAGGCCAGACCACATCACAGTAATCTCGTGAGTGGGTTCTTTAATGTTCCCTGCCTAACCAAATTGACTAATTAATAGAAGCAGGAGACAGGACCTACGGTTTATTCGTCCTTATCCAAGAAGACTAGAATGTCTATCCATTTCTCGACATTATAGAAAGGTAGCACATTCTCCTCAGTTATTTTACGACTTTGAGTGTTGGTCTGGCTGGGGCAAACTGGTGTAATTCAGGGTTTACATAGACAAATGTGGTAGCAAGAGAGTAGTATAAAAACAGGAAAACACTCTGCAGGTTTGAAATTGAAATAGCTGAGGCCATTGAATTTTACCAGAAAATTCTGCCATGTGGGTGGAAAATTCTTCAATTTCTGATTTTAACTGAATTCCCTGATATCTATTGCAAGTTTTAGTGTGTTGGTAAGTTTTAGTGTGTTGGTAAGTTTTAGTGTGTTAACCTCACTATGGAATTGAGGGAGAAGTGACTTCCAAATTGTACACCCTCCATTACTTGGGTAGAACTGACTGTTTGACATATAAATGGTGTCAAAGAAAGACATTTCGTATGTACCCTTTCATAACATATTTACTGACTGGGGTTACCTTTGCATATGCCTCCACTGAACGCTTGGTCACCACTTCCAGGGAAGAGGAATTACCATTAGGAAGTTTCACTTTGACAGCAGAAAAGACTTCTGTGTACATTTGAGGAGTCCTGTACACTGTGGGATTTTCTGAGTTTTTCATGTCCCCTGAGGAATGATAGCAAGACTCCCGGAAAAAAAGGTGGCCACCATCTCGTAGCCACAGAAGCATGTTCATAGCTAACTTCTCAAGTTCTTCATCAGAAAGGTACATCAGAAGCCAGTTGGAGAAAATCACATCATAGCTGCGACAGAAAGGGTGATAACATGAAGGTTAGTTGGGTTATTCAGAAGCTCTTTTCTCTATCTTATTATATCTCAGTCAATACAGGTGCTATGATTGGTCAGTTCAGCAGTTCCCTCCCCCTCTATTTACACCCAGAGATATACCAAGTATCTTATTAACCTCCTTTTCCGTCTGTACTGTAAGTTACAGAACCTTGTTTTGTCTGCTGACAAATCTTGGTCTGTAACTTTCAGTATAGACCTCAAACTTGTGAAGTAAGATGTATACATGCAATTAATATGTAAATATCTAACAGCACTGTTTTGTCTGCAAGCGCAATAAAGAGATATATACAGAGCTCATATTCAACCCTGTTCCTTAGAATACCCTACTGTATTTAACCAGTCACAGAAAAAAACACATCACTCCTGAATCAAACATTGGGGTCACAAGAATAAAGGAAATGATCACCACTGAGAGAAGCTCTTGATGATTAAAAAATTCTCCTTCTTGGCCTTTTAGGAAATGTATAGAGAACAGTATGGAGAATATGTATTCTGATGTTAAGGTGTAAAGTGTTTAGGTCTGACTCAAGGCTACCTTGTTTAATCCATTTCCATAGATGTTCACCAGTTTAGTTGGACAGTAAAAATTCCAACTGTTATATAATGCTTTTCAATAACATCAGAGGAAATATTGATAAAATGGTTTCACTGTGAGATATTTACCTTCCTTTTGGCAATTCCAGCTTTGTAACATCAGCACAAACAAAGTCAATGTTGTTGAACTTAGCGCCATTCACTTCCTTGTTCTTGTCAGTAAATGACTGCATGAAATCAACAGCAGTAACATGACGAGCTTCCTGTGCAATATCTCCAGTAAAACGTCTGGTAAGAAACAAAAAAAGGCACAGTCTTGACATACCTGTTGCATCCAGCTTCAAGTCAAGTGTGGCCTGACTATGGGAACAGTTACACTATGGGACTGTTTCTTCACAATAATAGTGACATATTGTAAGAGAATATTTTCATAATGCATCAATCAGTTTATCTGGTGCTTTTACTCTGTACACTCAACAAAATTCTCCTTTAAGGATATTCCATGTTGTTTTCCATGTCTACCCAAATGGTTCCAAATTGCCACAATTATTATTTCCAAATCAGTAAATACAGATGCCACAAATGATATGTTTGCTTAGTGTTGTGTTTCACTAAATAATCTATTTAATCAATCCAAGGGAATTGACTTATCTCTTAAAAAATGTTATGTGGTTACAGATGTAACAATCATCCAAAGTACTGTAATTGAAAGATTTTTTAATCTAAATATATGAACCCTTATCAATTGACATTCCGAAGTTAATAATAATAGCATGTCTAAGTTAAATGATTTATACAGATTTGGTCAAAACTAAGAAATCTTGCTTTAGTAAAAATCCCATATACTAGATCATAAGATCATTGCACGATTTTTAACATAGAGTAAATAATATCCATCACCATGGATGTGATGATACCAGTACCATGACATATTTACCTTCATCAGCAAACAGTCAAGTACATACTGACTCTGAGTGCAGCGCAGGGCGCGGAGGATAGCCTCTATCACCAGACAGGTGGTTTTCAAGAGGCTCCTCTGATCAACACTTGATGAAACAATAACAACACAACATGAATCACAATTAAAATCCTGATATAGAAGAAAAGGTAAGTAAGTTAATTTAAAGGGAAGGGCTATTGCCTGTATAAGTTCCCAAATTTTTCTATCCAATGAGAAAGGAAAGCTTTATATACCCTAAGTTTGTCAAGGTGCTAAAATTTTTGATGACTTTACTAATAGTCAAACTTTATTTTAGCAATCACCCAAAATGCCAAGCCTATTCAGCTGCCTGTATAAAGTGGTCTTTTAGAGAAATTAAAACTGAGGAGATTTTACAAGCTCAAGTTTGGTGTTTTGGAAAAGTGATCACAAACATTTTGTCAGCACACAGGAAAATTTGATATCACTGAGATTGAATACGGTATTTCCTTAAATAAGCACCCACCCTCCAATAGGCACCTTCTCCTAACTAAGTGCCTACCCCTGAGGTCACAAGCACTCCCCTTCTCCCTCACTTTCTTATAATAGGGCTACATGGAAAACCCTGCGTCTATTGCCAATTTATTTTTTTAACCATTTAACCTTCAACTACAGTGTGATCAGTACAGGTTAATAATTTCTTAATAATTAATAATAATAATTTCTTAGTGGTCCCCTTGATTAAGCCTCTTCCTTCCAACAAGTTACCCTCTTTTAAGTCAAAATTTTAAGTAAGTGCCTGGTGGTTCTTTAGGGAAATATAGTACCAATTATATTTAAGGAAACATTCACTGTAGGTCATACTTCTAGAGACAAAAAGCAAACTAGTGTAACCCTTTAACTTTCCAGATCTGATTGTTGATTCTCCCTTCTAGCTGCTAAACATTTCATCATAAATTAGTTGTGAGAATTTGGCATTAAATCAAGATAATAATTTCCAGCAGATAAGTTTAAGTATTCTCAATTCCTGTTGCTGGATAATGTAGGATATTATAGGGAGAAGTTGCATAATAATTAATTGAGAAAGTTGAAGGGTTTAAGAAATTTAACCCTAATTTTCTGCCTGAATTAAGATAAACTCATTTAAATTCAAGCACAAAAACATGCAGCCCACATAACAAAAAGCAACACCTTATTGGAAAATATTTTCATTAATTACCCAATTCCTGCTCCCAGCTCCAGGACATCTTTTCCTTTGATATTTGGCAGCATTCCCATGACTTCTGGGTGCTCATCCTGCGTCAAGGTTTCTGCCTTACTGTCCAACATCATTTCCTCAACGCTTTGAGCCATGGAGTGTTTGTTCCAAAACTCAGTCATTTGGTCGCGTGTCTGGTTGGATTCTACAAGTGTTGCCACTGAAAATAACATGGCTTTTCAGGTAAATGGATACAGTTTAGGGTCACTTAAAACAAGCTTTTTTGAAACGTTGCAGAAAGTCTTTTCCTGTAAAAAACAATTTTCCCAAGGAACCAATTTAAGGCTATTCCCATAATCTGCATGACTAAAAAAATGGGCAAAAATTAGGTTCATTTCCCCGCTATTCTGCCCCAATAATAAAAATAAAAATTATAACAATATACTTTCTGACAATAAAAAAACTGCCTACACAAGTCGATTAAAAACAATTTCTCTTTATTGGCCAGCCTTGTTCAGGCAATTGGGCTAAATATTGGCCTCGTTCTTTAGTGCAAAAAATAACTTGTAAATAATATCCATCTGTCTTCATCTTAAAATGCTCGCAATGACACCCAATATGCCTCTCTTTTTAATGAAGCAATAAAAAGTTTCGTTTTAGTTTAAGACAAGCTGCTTTATGGAATGTAATTGATGGAGAAAACTTATTCCAAATCTTTTAAATGGAGAGTTGACATAGAAAATTTGTACATCTGCCTTCATGTTACTTCTCTGAAAAGACAAATTTTAAAATTCTATTATTCTATTGTTCGTCTACGCCAACATCGTCGAGGATTGCACACAGCGAAATCACTCGATATACTGAAAATATCTTGTTTCAACTGCAACGTTGACAAAAAAAAGAGAAAAATAAAATGAAAAGATATTTTAAGAACAAATCTTCCAACGCTTCCCTCGAAAAAAATTTGGCTGAAAATAACATGTAACACAAGAATAAACAGACCAAGAGATGGTAATTCAGCGAAAAACGCCAAAATTGTTTTCGTGTTCGTTAGCTTTGCAGGAAAGGGTAAACAACATTGCACAGGCTGAAATATCCTCAGCGACATCAGACGATTGTAACTGCATAGAGCGCCGGTTGCACTAAAAGGTAATCAACGATGACCGGTTCCAAAATTTCAACAGGAAAATTATGTATGACTCGCTTGGATCGGATAAGCCGGTTCGAAGTAGATAGGCTACCTTGCATAGAGAGTTAAAAGGCTTTTTCAACAGCAGTCCACTTACTATTTATCAAAAGCTCTTTATCCTTCTGTGTACCAAAAAGCCAGGCTATGGAGAGAGTAACAAGTATTCCGAAGACCAATGAGGAACAGTACATACGCAAACCGATCTAAATCACCTGAGAACCGGATAGTTTGTACTAGCCACCAGTGGTTTCACGGTGTTAAACACGGCACGTGATCAGCTGAGTGTTTATTTCGAAATTCCTGTATCTCGCTGTGTCAACAAGTTGGATCTTTGATTGTTCGATAGTTCCAGTTTTGGCAATACCTCGTACTATGGTGTCACAACCTGGAATAATCATTAATTCGAAACTAATGCTCGCAATTTTAAAATGATTTGCGAGGGGAGAAAGAGGACTTTGTCAGGCTGAGCTTCAAGCCATCAGTTAACCTTTAACATTAACAGAACAGACAGAGTTAAATCATGAGCAAGTAATTACTGCTGCAAATATCAGTCAGATTTTTAGCCTGGTTACATTTGGTTGAAAGGTCTATTCGCCTCATTCGATGTGGCCTTTTTTTTTTTTTTTCTTTTTTCGTTTTTGTTTATAAGTGTTCTAACCGGTAGGTCTGGGGAGAGTCCGTCCAGTTGTAGCTCACGTGTGGCCATACCCTTCCCTACAGAGTGGAATGGAAGGGGAGGGGAGAGTACAGCTTCATAAGGGCTAATCCAAATATTTTCTCGAATTAATTTCTTTCAAGACGTTTTCTGGCTGAGAGGAAATTTAATCAGTTGTGTCATTTGGAAAAAAAGGCTACCAAATGTCAATGAATGTTGAGGGGCTTTCAAAAGTGTGAGACGCGGACTAAGCGCTGAATAGAAAGATTGTAAATGTATTTTTTCACATCAAGCCTTTTTATTTGTTGGATCAGAAGTTAAAACTAGCTGTTTGACTAAGCTGGGCTAATGTTATAAAATTCGCTTAATAAAGGGTCGGGAAAGAAATCCTGAAAAAGACCTTTACAATTATTTTATATTAAAAAACAAAAAACAAAAACATAACACAACAAAAAAAAAGGTGAGGAGGAAGGGGGAGGGGGGATGATCAAAATTCGGTTTGTCTCAACCCAGTCCCTACCGAGAATAAATAAGATGACTGCCGTCAGCTGCGAGCCAATGACCTTTTCTTTTCGCCGTGATTATAATTCTGTAACAGATCGAAATGCTACCCTCGGTCGGTGTCGTCGACACAGGGAACTCATCTCGAATACTTCTGCCGCTTCTACGCTCAGCCGGTTTTACAGTCAGTGGAATATGGGGTGCTTCAAAACAGCAAGCGAAGACGATGGCGGAGGAGTACAAAGTTCCATTCCATACAGTTAAAATAGACGAATTACTTCTGCGTGAAGACGTGGATTTAGTGTGTGTGCTTTGCCCACCTCACGTTCGAGCTGAAGTGGCGGTGAAAGCTCTTTCTATCGGAAAACACGTCCTCTGTGATTCTCCTGTAGGTCTTAGCAAGGATGAAGCTGAGAGAATGGTCCAGGCTGCTCAATATTATCCTAAGCTTCTTTCTCTTGTCAAACACGAACTCAGGTTTCTTCCCGCCTTTATCAAAATGAAGCGATACGTGGAGGAAGGTTTTTGTGGCAAGCCACTAATCTGCGAGTGTAAGATTGAAATGGGTTCATTGCTAGGTAACAATTACACCTGGATGTGTGATCAGGCCATGGGTGGTGGGGTGCTGACCAATCTTGGGGCCCACATCATTGATCTTGTTTCCTTCTTAACCAACCAAAGAGCTGTAGAAGTTCATGGTACTCTAAAAACCTTCATTCCTCAAACAGATGAGGTTTCAGGCTTTCGTCATATATCCAGTGATGACTATACAGCTTTTCAGATGAAATTGAATGGAGGGGCTTTTGCGACAGTTTCTCTTAATGCCCACATTCCAGGACGTTACTCTCAAACTGTCACTATATATGGTACCAAGGGGCAGCTGATCGCGAGGAATGGTAGTTTATATGGAGTGAAGAATGGTGGCAAAGAAGAACTCATTTATGGAGACATTGCCCGCATCCCGGGTATGTTCAATGTGGAGAAACTCCCACCCAGTATCTTTCTGACAGGTCTTGAAGTGTGGGTGTCAGAGATAAAAAGAGCATTTGAAGAATCCATTGATAAAGATGATCGAAGAATTGCTGATCTGCAGACTATTTCCAGTGCAGCTTCATTTCATGATGGTCAGTTTGATATCCTGGATAATACATGGGTAGAAGAGAAGGCACAGGGGTATGGGGAATGAGGGGGGGGGGGAATGGGGGGAGGGACTGAGCCCCTTGAAAAAAACTGGTGGGTCAAAATTCCATATAGTGTAGTGTGGAAGTTATTTTATTTAAAAGATGCACTTGACTTGGCAGAATATCTACCCTTGTGTTTTTCACAATTTGTTTTATCAACATTGTGTATGGGAAGACACCGAGTTGCAGGACTCTTTCTCAGACAACTGCCTACTTATGCATTCAAAAAATCAGTAGCTAACACAATTAACATGTGGCTTGATTTTTTTTGTCTAACTTGTGACAAGAAATCATAGATTAAGAATCAATTTTTTTTAATGAAGGCATAATAATAATAATAGTAATAATAATAATAATATTAATAAAAAAAGACTTTAATTAGGGATTTTATACTAAATAGCCAAAGCTGATGAACTTGTAACCCTCTATAATTAGCATGTTGCTTCTTAGCTCAATACAAGGTCAGAATCAATAGAGGATGAGAATAACTTCATTCCATTACAGGTGTTTTTAATTAACACTGTGATGACTGTTTCTTCAAATTGCAGGCCTTTATACCAGAACCGTCCTTGATGCCATTATTGAGTCCAGTGGACATGGTACTTGGTGTCAGGTTGAGTTTGTTGCTAATGAAGAAACTGGGGAAATGAAATCAGGCCCTGAGGAGAAGTCAGTGCAAATCATCACTGAGCCACGAAAGGAAAAGGCAGGTGAAAAGAATCTTGCATCTCCTGTACTGCGAAAGATGCTGACTCAGTGAGCTTGGGAGAGTTTAGATAAAGTTTGAAAGAGGATAATTTTATTCAAGCAACTATCAACAAATTTCCAATGCAATTATTATTTCAGCCAGTTTCTTTTTTTTTTGGCTAACATAAGATATGAGGAAGCTTGGATGGAAAAAATGGCACCTTTTCACCTTTCTGGGATGGTTTGTGGTTTCAACCTTTTGAAAAAGTTGCCCTTTTGAAAGATGTCTGGTTCCATTCTCAAGTTAAAAGTTCAAATGAAAAATAATTTCATCTTTAAAGAGATAATTCTTGGTTTTGTGAAAATTTTGTATAGGTATTGGTATTGCTTATTTTCAACTTCAAAAGAACTACCAAGGAAAAGATGCAAGGAGCATCAAAAGCCAGTTATACATTTTACACTACAATGCTTTAAAAACATAGAAATGGCATAGTCTGGCAGTTTCAGGGTGTATTGCTAAACAAAGTATTGAAAAGCTCAGTTTTCCATGTTAAAATTCCTTTACTGTGTTTGAGAAATGTTTATTGATTAATTTGAGAAACAATTTGTACAATTACTTTATAATTAAATAAAGACAGAAGCTCCTTCTATGGCCTTTTCTGACATTTTTGGATTGCATGCCACTAGAAAGAAATCCACAAGTGGGTCTCACTCAACAGGCAATTGTCTGAAAAATTTTGTACTGCTTGGACAGCAGCAAAAAAAAAGAATGAATTAATGAAATAAAAACTCAACCCTCTCTTTATTATTCAATACTTAATTAATATTAAAATGTTATTACATTTTACTTTCATTTATCTTTTCTTATTTTGCTATATAAGCTTTTTATAAAATTTGTTTGGTCAAAAAATAACATATGCTCAGTAATGGGTAATTAGAAGCTTCATTAATTAAAGTTTCAATGATGGCAACCACATGGAATTTAATCCTCTTAATTCTCAATATGTGCTGATTCTAGAACGAGAATAGTACTTGTTGCTATCACGACTGAGTCACGAGTTGTTTGCTTCAAAGCTTATGATTAAGTACCTAGAAAATACCTCTAAGGGTTCAGTCTTTCATCTTTATCCTGATGATCTTTCTTAATGTACCTCGTAAAACAAAGGTTTTTATGTTAACCAGTTAAGGCTCTGATAGAAGGGGCCTTTTGATTTAAATTCTCGAAATTACCTCGCCTTTACGAGTGAAACGAGACAATGGCTTAGTTGTTGTGTGATCTCGTGCTTGTCACGCGCTCTGACGTAATATCACCAGTCCCTGATTTACGTAGTGAGGTCACGCGACACGAATGGATAAATAACGACGCTCTTACCAGTTCATTTGTCAGTTTCATGAGAGACTGGTCAAGTACTTTCTAGAGTTTAAAAACTCTGTTAGTATCACTGGTTTCAATACTTTGTACACACATTAGTTTTCGAGTGCAAGTGAGTTTGGAGAATGTCAAACCGCCAAGATTCGCCCGGCGAGAATCGTGACAAGTTCAGGTTCGCCATCGATCGAGGTGGGACCTTCACAGACGTTTACTCAGAATGTCCCAACGGAGAAGTAAGAGTGATGAAGCTACTGTCAGTTGATCCTGCATATCCTGATGCACCTAGGGAAGGAATAAGACGGATTATAGAGCAGGTAAAAGTGTTTCTTTGTCCCTAAGCTATAAAAAAGCGAGAAAGATAACAACCTGGATTAACTCAGCAATCTCTATAGGTACCAGTTAATTTGGTCACGTGACTAGGCATCGTGGAAGAAGTTATCGAGATTTAAAAACTCTGGCAGGATTTTTAAATTTAGCTTGAAGAGATAACTTAAACTTGCCAATAGTTGACCTATTGAAGATCGTCACACCGTTACCAGTGCTAATATAATTTATTGCTTTATGGTTATTCTGTAATAATAGTAACGTGCGGGAAAAAAAAATGCGAGCTCCGCTTTTAGGCTTGGCTAAATCTATATATTATACCTTGATGGTTTTACAGACTTTTTGATTCTAAGCTTGGTATTTATTTGTATCGTTTTCTACTTTTTGATATTTTTTTTTACCATGACCCGTGTCTGGTATCAGTGACACAAACCAGTGATTTAAAAATATTTTAGTAAAGACCTTTCAAAAATTCTTAAGACTCCTAGCTAGAGGAGTTGATCAACCATCCATACATAACTAAGAATCAGGACTAGATCATGCTTCCTTGTAATAAAACAAATGTAAATATTTCTTTTATTGCAAAGAAACATCAACTACACTTTGGCATTTGCTCTGGTGTGGGACGAACAATTGAAACATCAGCTTTAGAAAATCTTGATGGTGGACAATTTACATTTATCAATGCAGTTGATAACACCAAATTATCCATACATGTTAATGGTTAACAGGGTCCTGCAAAATTTCCGCATAGCCCCGTACTTCCTTATGTATCCATATATGGGGATTTATTATTTAGTGTATCACCAGTAAGATGTGGATACACAATGAAGTATAGGGCTGTGTGAAAATTTTTCCCTTGTCTCCCCTGAAAATTTGGGGAGCTTGTTTTATCATTTGGTAGAATTCCCAATGCTTTCAATTATATGACTAATGGAGAGTGGATAACTGTTGTTTTTCAGGTGACAGGAGTAAAGATGCCTGCAGATCAGCCAATTGATCCAAAGTACATTGAGTGGATAAGGATGGGGACCACAGTGGCTACAAATGCTCTGTTGGAACGAAAGGGAGAAAGAATGGCTCTGGTTATTACTGAAGGATTCCATGATTTGTTGCATATTGGCAATCAGACAAGACCTAATATATTTGATTTAGTAAGTAATCCTTTTAAAACACGAAAAAGAAGTGTTTTCATTTTGAGTGAAGGTTGCAAGAGGCTTTCCTATGCCATCAACACTTGTTTAGGCATTTGGAAGTACAGCCAGGTGCTGGATGACAACAACACGATTTGAATGTCAAAACTGCATGATTGAAAAACTTCCATTGAGCCTTTCTCAACTGAAGATTGTAGTACCTGTGCACTTAAGATTGGATTAAAATTTAAAGAGAAATTTGTTGATATATGATTTCTTACAGTTGATGACTAATTGCTCTTTTGCAGAAAGTTATATGTCCAGAGGTACTGCATGAAGATGTTATTGTTGTGAAAGGTAGACTGGTTTTAGAGCAAGATGACAGTAAAATTCAAAGACCACAAAACTGTAAAATAGTGTCTGGAAGTACTGGGCAAAAGGTGTGTGTGGCAGATAGCAATGAATTAATTTCAGATTTAAAAGAAATAGTTTTATGACAAACATTATAATTGTGATTTTCCTTTTATAATTTACAGTTCCTCCAGAATTCTAGTTTGGCTTCAGAAATTCCACTAAAATGCTTCCTTTTTTTCCTACCACTTTAACAGAATTTCAAATGATTTTTCATACATTTTATTGATATTAACATTTGATCGATATTAAAATTTAAATAGGAAAATGCAAGTAAACAAGTCTGTACTTTTTTTTTTGCATCTCGTTGGTTTGAGATAAATACAAGTTTTCTAAAGCAATCCTGGAGCATAGTTAAAATCAAAGCAAATACTACCTGGTTTACTTGTTATGTCCAGTTGAAAATAGTCCATTTTACAGTTGTTTGGTTACTAAGCCTTTGAACAGGAGTGAGGCAAAGGGTGACCTTGTTATGATACAAACCTTGTTGCTTTTCAAATATAAATAACTTTGTTATCATGTAAACTAAATACTGGTCTTTATCACAACAAGATCACCCTCAGCCTCACTCTAAATCAAAGGCTTGGCAACTGTGTACATAACTGAGAAATGGCCTATTAACCCAATTTTTTAAATAAGATATTAAATCATTCTTATACACATGAAGAAAATGATGGATGCTTACTATATATATCTTTCTTTGTAGCTTGAAGAGTGGGAACCTTTGGACAAAGGAAAGCTTAGAAAAGACCTACAGGTAATCTTCTGACAGTCTATCAACCTGAACTTCGTTATCTGGATCAACTGAGAGAATTATCATGTATAATTATTATAACAAGTATAACATTTTTATTATAAGTATAACATCTTTATTATAACAAGTAATTATGACTGACTTTAATATAATTATTACTGAATAGATATGCACTAGATACAAGTAATATCACTCAAAAGTAGTGGAATCCTGCATTTGTCATTTCACCGACATTATACAAGTAAAGGTACAAATGAAGAAAACTTGACACTGGAAGAAAACACTATATTTTTTTACAGAGAGTCCTTGATAAAGGAATCAAGAGTTTAGCTGTTGTGCTCATGCACTCTTACATGTAAGTATCTATTATCTCATAAAGGGGACTGGAATTGAGCATGCTGGCATGTTTGATTATGAAATGTTTTATGGTTGCTTCTGTTACATGCATGATCCTTTAGTGACTCTTGTGAACTGTAGCATTGTTTGATAATGATAATGATGGCAACTAGTCTATGCCAAACAATCCAAAATGGTGCTCACCTGGAAATCCAAACATGTAAATATCGGTTGGATCTGTTTCTACTTTTTATGTTTCAGTTCCAATTTCCTAATTATTTTGCAAAAGGATCTTCATAATACAAGTTTAGGGCCAACATGTAAATATTGGTTGGATCTGTTTCCACTTTTTATATGTTTTGGTTCCCATTCCCCAATTATTTTGCAAAAGGATCTTCATAATACAAGTTTAGGGCCAACTTGTTTCAGCAGTTAGAGCTTCCTTTAAAAAGTTATTTTAACCCACTCTAAGAGGCAACCCAGACCATTTCAATAATTTTGATTTAGGCAATCATTTACATTCTAGTGTGCCCTTTAGAATGATATGAAAAGTAATGTTAACATTGGTGTACAGTCATTTTATGAAGGGATCTATGGTTGTAAGCCGTTTCTTAGATAATTGTCTGGAGAAGTTACTCAATAACTGATAATTCCCTAATGGAAGTTCAAGTGTTAAATCTTACCAGGTATTATTTGTCACATATTCAGGTATGATGTACATGAAAGAGAAGTTGGTGAAATTGCCCTAGAGATGGGTTTTGATCAGGTGTCACTCTCTTCTACAATAATGCCCATGGTTAGGATTGTACCCCGAGGTTACACAGGTTAGTGTTCTTTACAATAGCAAGTTACAACAGTAATTATTATTTGCTCCTTTGCATGAAGACCTTGTGATTTCAGAATCATCAGCTGTTATTGTTATTGCCGTTGTTGTTAGTTTTTTTTAACAACATATTGAATTTGAGTTTGATTTACAATGTGTAGCTTCTGCCGATGCTTATTTAACCCCTTGTATAAAGAAATATATCAGAGGATTTACAGCTGGCTTTCAAGATGGCATCCAGGTTGGTTGATTGGTTACTGTGTGTGCGAAAATTTTATATATCCAATAAGTTTGAGAGGAAAGGTAACTTGTGCCACTGGCCAAACCTGATGAAAATAAGGTTCTGGGCAGGTATAGCATTTAGATTTGTCTCACTGAATGCCAGTTCACATATCCCTCCGGGACTTCAATCATTATTAATAATATCTCATTTTAAGAAAGCTGTGTTTTTATCCACTCTCAGAGCAGCTTATTGTGAAATCACAGAGTGCAAATATTTCTGGGAAGGGTGGGGTGAGGAACCTTGTCTCAAGACAAGATGGTTTATTTGTGTCATTGTCATGTTGTGTGTTTAATAATTTGCCATTGCTTTTGATAACAATGTAGATTGTGAAGCGCAGTGTTATTTTTGTATTACAGTGTTAATTTATGATTGATCTTTTTGCAGGACAAAGTGTTGTTTATGCAGTCTGATGGCGGCTTGACTCCTGTGTCAAAGTAAGTGGTAATTTATAGAAAAGCATTACAATGTTTTTTTTACTGTATAATTATACTTTACCCTCTAACTCACATGATCTCGTGAGTAATTCTCCTTACTGTCTGTTGTAGAGTTCTTGTGATGTTAGTCTGGGGAATTTGGTATTGGATCAACTAGTAATCCCTTAGTTAATATTTTTCTTTACTCTCATTAATTTTCTGCTTGATGTTATATTAATATTGTAAGGAGAAATTCTGTCTTGGTCACTCATGAGAGTTAAAGGGTTAAGCCCTGCTTTCTACCTCAACCTGAATTAAATGAACTGTGTCAACAAAGTTTATAAGTAATTGATATTATTGTCATTTTGTTTATCAATCAATTAATTATTATTGTTATTAATATTGCTATTATACTGTAATTGTCATTTACGGTATGTGTAGTTAAGGAAGTGATATCCACTGGATATTTTAACATGTTTCCAATTAATTGCACAGTAATTTGTAATGTGTTTTTGCAGGTTTTATGGATCAAGGGCCATTTTGTCTGGACCTGCAGGTGGTGTGGTAGGTTCCAAAGTTTTATTCATTTGACTTTTTTTTCCAAAAGGATAATAGAGTTTGCTTTTTGCTCAGGTTGGTTATGCAATGACAACTTTTCACAGAGAGACAGAGCAACCAGTCATTGGATTTGATATGGGAGGTAATAAAAGAATAAAACATTATCATGTTATTTGATCTTGAATAGGTCTGATATTTTTACTGGAAATTTGTTACAGCTAAAATGATGGTAAAAGTAGTGTTAAGAATGTGTCTCTATTTTCAATTTAATTATATTGCACCAAATGTTTGAAGAAAGAGTGCAGTCCCAAATTACATTGATTGAGATGATTCGGTGAGAATTTTTTTTGTGATGCAGTGTCTCCTATAACAGTAATTTGTCCTAGCCAGACTTTCTTCACATCCTAGATTTAAATCTCAACATATTCCTAAATAATTCTTACCAAAGTAATGTAATGTCCTAGTTAAGTATTTTTTTGCAGCTGCATACTGGTGAGTAACTATACAGTTTTTTTCTTCAGGAACATCAACAGATGTGTCTCGATTTGCTGGTCAATATGAACATGTGTTTGAGACAACAACAGCAGGAATCACTATACAGGCACCGCAGGTATGAGGTTTGGTTTGGATAATTTTCATTCTTTCTCATTGTGGTATCTCAAGAACTCTGAATTCTGACACCCATAGTTTCATGTATGAATTGTTCTGTTATCCATCAGATCTTCATTTAATCAAATACTTTCAGATATTACTAGAAAAGGGAAAACTTAATTTAAAGTAACATGATATCATCTGAAATGCTGAAATGCAAACCAGAGTAAGAAGTGTATCTTGGTCTGTCTGGTACTCACACAAGTTTACTTTTTTGGAGTCAAAACTTCAAAGTATACAATTATGACAACAACTTATGCATTGAATATGAAAAAGAAAAATTGTAGTCCTTCCTTGGAATAGTTCATTTTACAGTTGCATGCTTGGTTGCCAAGCCTTTGAACAGGAATGAGGCTAAGGGTGACCTTGTTATGATACAAACCATACTGTTTTTCTAATGTCATCATGCTAAGTACATACTGGTCTCTATCACAACATGGTCAACTTCAGCCTCACTCCAAATCAAAGGCTTGGAAACTAAGTACACAACTGCAAAATGGCCTATTAAAAAACCACTCAGAGAAATCAGTGGACTGAGTTACCAACTGAAATTTGTTAATATGAACTGGTCTTGAAAGACTGTTTTTTGTGATAATTGTTTTTGTAGCTGGACATCAACACTGTGGCAGCAGGAGGTGGATCTCGCCTATTTTTCAGGGCGGGGCTATTCGTTGTTGGACCTGAGTCAGCCAGTGCCCATCCAGGACCTGTTTGTTACCGAAAAGGTGAGTTTATGCTCACAAGTAGAACAGAAAAGAAGAACAGATGGTTTGCTTTTTTCTCCTTTTTCTACCTGGTCTCCTTGCTAGCCATCCTTAACCCTTTACTCCCTAACGTCAGTATGAATATTCTCCATACCACTCTCCAGACATTTCGTAGGGTTCTGACAAGGAGAATTTGTTCAACAATCAAAAGCTTCTTTTGTTGGTGATCATCTCCTTTATTCTCATGACCTTAATGTTTGATTCAGGGGTGATGTTGTAAGGAGAAATTAGATGTTAGTCACTCTTAGGTGTTAAAGGGTCATGGCTCATCACACAACACTCTCTCCTCCTCCCTCCCATCCCCTAAGGGAACTTTGTGACTTCTTTTCCCTCTCCATGCTTTTACCAACACCCGTCTATGGTGACTCATTATAATTGTAATTAGCCAAGAGTTTAGAAGGCAAAGTTAAAAGAAGCAATTTCAAAATCTGTTAATTTTCTTAGGTGGTCCATTGGCTGTGACAGATGCAAACCTAGTGCTTTGCAGGATTCTACCTGAGTATGACGTATATGCTGTTCTTTTATGAAA